GTAGCGGACTTTAGATTTGCGGTAATGGTCAATTCGAATTAGGCACAATTTACACCGCCGGATAGGAATTGAAGCGACTTTTGCAAAGAAATTGTACATAGCATAATGAACTTTATGTAAATTGGAATCCTCGCACATTCTCGAGTATTCCCTTAGCTACTGTAGGGGCCGTCTATGTAAATCCGCGGGAAATGTAATCCGCGAATGGAGAGTCGGTCGGGACGGTCAGAGTGGTGCGGCGCAAGGCGCAGTCCGAAGGACCAGGCTTGCGTATTTATATTATCACATCAACAGCCTTTAATAGTCCACTGCTGGACATAGACCTCTCCTTAGAAAGGAGGTTTTGGCCTACTATATCACGCTAGCCAGACGGGTTGGTATAGGGTTTGTGTCAAGTTTTCCGTCTCTTTGCAGTGCTGTTGTCCTGCGTAGTTAGCTCCCTTAGTCGCCTCTTACGACACGCACGGGATGAATAGGGGGTGGCGACACTCCGTATTCTTGATCCGTCACCACACGGACTGACGGACGGACGGACTATTTACATTTACTACAGTTTTACTCTAACTTACATGTATTTTTTATGTAAACACTGTAATATAAAATGCCGTATTTGGCAAAAAGAGTTAATTAACAAGTGATGTCACTATCAGAAATATGTGTTATATACCTTTCTCACTTGTGTAAATAATAAAACAAGTATGTTCTTGCATATCAGACAATGAGTTATTATTTAATGATAAAGTAACATGCCTTAAGATTTTTACACTGTGGAATTATCAATATACCGCCTTTATATTTATTGTTATTTAAGGTAACTTTTTTAACAAAAGAACATTATTATGATGATAATAAGGATTGATGGGCATATGGATAAAGATGAGTCTCTTCGAATCCATCATTCTCAGACCCATTTCTCCAATAGAGCCTTGCGAGATCCCCTGCTGTAGCTCCTCATCTCATCTGATGTCCTAACCTTAAATGACCTTCTTCCTTGGTCATTTGTTTGATATTAGAAATTAATTATGTTACATCGCAAGAAGTTTGTTTGTGATTAGAAGGTAAGACATCATATATGAAATTTTGATGTATTAAACATGATCATCTCATAATTTATCTTGTTTGAGTAAGTATTTAAAAGTCCATTCATCCAAGCCAAGAGATTAGTACAAAACATCACCAACTTTCAATTCACGAACTTTTAAAAAGGCATCATAATGTTTCTGTTTAAAAAATAAAAATTCATTAATATAGTGTAAATTGTTCTAAATTTCTGTATGGTACTTTAATAACGTGCCAAATAACTGTGAAGGTCAAGCTCAAGGACTGACCTTGCATCATCTGACATAGTACAGGAAAATTAATTTTTAGATTCAGGTCACAAATTATGGTCAACAACTGAATATTGATGAGGTCATGTGCGATTTTGATAGCATTGAATGAACAATATGGTCTCTTTTATAGTTGTTTAGTGGTAATTTATATTTTAAGCAAGTACAAAATGAATCTTCATTATGTATTGCTAGTAAACAATAAAAGAAACTTTCCTATACAAAAAAATTTGTTTACAGCTAAAAATATTGTTGCTTATTTATAAACTGCAGCATCAAGGTTAGAAGAATTACCGAAAATAAAATTATAGCTAGGTGTTTCCAGTATTTCAAAGGCTAGGCCATATCATAGCCCTTGAATCGGTAGTTTTATAGAACACTAGTTTCTGCCCGTGGCTCAGCCTGTGTGTATGTCGGTTATTGCGGTAAAAAGTAGCCTATGCCTTTCCTCGAGAATCAAACTATCTCCATACCAAAATTCATCTGAATCGGTTCAGCGGTTATTGCTTCCCATACAAATATAAACCCCCCTTTTCACCCCTTAAAAGAGGATTGGGATAAAAACTATCCTATGTCCTTTCCTGGGACTCACACTAGCGGTTTAAGAGTGAAGAAGTAACAGACAGATGGACAAACACATGCTTTCTTTTCATTTATAATATTACTAGTATAAATAAGTACGGATGAACCAACTAGATATTTTTATTACCTTAGAGAGTCTAATTATATTCTAACTAGAACTTTAAATACATTCCATAGTGTACTAAAAGATAAATCAGTTTAAATTTATGATCCTATTAAAATTCTTCCCCAGGCCTATAAATTATAAAGAGTTTACGTTGAACTTTGCATCTCGACATGGTTTTAATGAACCGACATGACAGGAATATAAGTGCTATGCAATCTCATTGTATTGTTGTCACAAGATTACAATAGAATGTTAAGGTACATACATAACTGTATGAAAATAGTCATTAAAATTTTGTCTGTCTGCCAATATTGTAGCAGTGTCATAATGCTGACAGAAGACACTAGTGATGGTCTTAATTGAATTAGAATAAACACTTCTATGTTAGATATTAATATTGATGATTGATGGATTTAAGATTAATATTACATGTTTTTTAAATTGTTTTTGGACCCAAGAGGTTTCCTCTTTAAGGAGTTAAACATCCTGCTATGATGATGTCAGGAGTCACAGTCCTAGTCTTTGATAGAAGTTCATACCAGGTTGAAACTAGTCAAGAATTCCCATAATACATATATGATTGAACCATTTACAATTAAGAACTCCTCATTAAAGTTATTTAGGAAATGTAATTACAAAAGCACATAAACATGTTCTACAAGGCTGTGTGATATTGCAAGGCAGTATTTCAAAACACAAAACACTTTTTTTTTTTTTTTTTTTTTTTTAACGTGTGGAAATCCCCTCGGACCGTCACCCCTCCGGGGTTTGCGGCGGGGTGGTGTGTCGGACTCGGACCGACTAAAACCACACGGTGTGCCACTCTGCGCCTGTAACAGGAGGGATCCGGGAACAGCTGTTGTTAAGACATCCGGACCCCTCCTAGCGCCAGCCCGCTCCTGGTGCGGGCTCCGTCTCATTGTTGATGTTCCTCTCTTTTTAGGCGACGTCCGGCACACGCGGACGCCGCCCCCTCGCGGCTGGCCAACTAATGCGGGTGGAGGGGAAACCCACCCCGTCCACCCGCGGCCACACTCAGGGCGGCATGAGGCTGTGGTAGGCGGGCCTCCGCCGCCCGGTTCGCCGGCGGCGGATCGGGTCCGAGTGGAGGTCGTCCTCCCGGGCCCTCTCCGCCGCCTCCTTCCGCGAGATTACTACCTCGCAGAAGGTTGCGACCGCGGTAAAACAACTGTCGCTACCGGCCATGGAGCGTACTACGGCCGGTAGCGAGAGATCCACTCCGATGACTGCAGTGAGGGCCCGGCGCTGCGCCGCCCATGCGGGGCAGACCGCCAGCGTGTGCTGGGCCGAGTCCTCACTGCAGTCGCAGTGGTGGCAGGCGGGACTCAGTTCCCTCCTAGCGACCGTGTGCAGGTACTTCCCGAAGCAACCGTGCCCGGAAAGCACCTGCGTCAGTCGGAAGGAAAGGGTCCCGTGCTGCCGCCCTGCCCACTCGGCGATGACCGGCTGGAAAGCCTCCACGGCGGCGAAGCCAGCGCGTGGAGTCTCCAGCCGGAACGACCAACGAGCCATCGTGGCTCGGCGAGCGGCTTCGCGCCACTCGCGCACATCCTCGGGCGGAGGGGCGAAATCCGCTCTCCGCCCGGCAGTCAGCCACTCGCCGATAAACCTCGGCGAGCACTTCCGCCTCCAAATCCCACGGGGGAGTTCCGGCCAACGCGCACGCCACCTCCGTCGAAACGGTGCGGTAACCGCGTATGGCTCTGACCGCCATTACCCTCTGAGGGCGCCAGAGGCGTACCCTATTCTGGGCGGTCAGAGCCGCCGCCCACACCGGTGCACCGTACAGTGCCATTGACCGTACAACCCCCGTGTACAGCCGTCTTGTCGCGACGCTGGGTCCACCCATATTGGGCAGAAGTCGCCCTAGGGCGGACGCAGCGCCGACCAGCTTTGGAGCAAGCTGTCGGAAGTGCTCGTCGAAGAGCCACCTACCGTCGAGGATCAGGCCCAGATATTTCATCTGGGCCCGAACCGGTACGAGGACCGAGTTGACCACGATGGAGGCGCCAGGGGGTGGACCACGACGGGGCCCATGGAATAACAGGGCCTCCGTCTTATCTAGGGCCACCCGTAAGCCCAGCGCCTCAATGCGCCCGACCACCAGGGAGACTCCCCTTGTGGCCAGGCGCGCCGCCTCTTGGAAGTTTGCCCCCCGGGCTGTCACGAGGGTATCGTCTGCGTAACAGATTACACCCAGCCCGGGGGGGAAATCGGCGCGAAGGGCCCAGTCGTACCCTATGTTCCACAAGAGGGGTCCAAGAACAGACCCCTGTGGAACACCGCACGACATGGGCCGACACCTCAGATTACCTTCTCGGTCCTCGTACACGACGGTACGCTCCTCTAAATAGTCTGCCACCAGCCGCCTCAGGTACAAAACACAAAACACTGTCCTAACCTATTTATTTAAACATTTATCTTAAAATTATTATTCTTTAGTTGAGCTATATGCATCAAATTGTTGAATAAGTGAAATGTCTAGTAACATGTACAGGTAGCATTTCCTAACATTAGATTCGATTCATATGATACTGATAGTACATAAACAATTTTGTGGTAAATAAATAGTAAATACTTTTATATATATTTTTAAATATGTTTAAGTGCATTATCTCTTGGAAATTTTAACTTTTTAGTTTAGTAACTTATCTAAAAGAGATTGTTGAAAGTATTTTAGTTTTAATTAATGCAACATACCAGTTGCTTGAATATAGTGAATTGAAATTTTGTTAATAATTTAGGTATTAGAGTGGTAAGCAAGTAGCATTCATATTTTTAGTATCTCTTATTTATATTAGAGCTTGAATAATTAAAAAAATATATATATTTTTGATAATTAGGTTTCATTTAGACAATCCATGTAGGTATGTTGTTTATAAAACCAAGCGCTAATTACATTTACTGAAACTCTAAAAAATTCAATTTGTAACAACAATGATAAGTACAGATAACATGGATATTCAACTAGTACTTACTTTGAAAACTTCTGAGAAGAATCCCGTACCGATTTTCTCCAGAATGAAGTCATCAAATGGATACAAAGCTGCCACAGCTGTCCTGAGGGCTGTACAGGACGAACCTGTCACCCTGCGGTCACCAAGTCTCTCACTATCCTCACTAACACCTGACTCCTTATCACAATCATCATCACAACACATGGCACGCTTAGTCCGGCTAACACTGTCGCCATCGCGATACCTCCGGCCCACCTTCGAGTGCGGACCCCTCACGTAGCGACCTGACTTGGCCGTCTCGTCCAAATTGGTGAAGCTTTCTGCTATCTTCAGCACCTTACTTGGCTTCCGCCGCTCGTACCTGCTCCTGCCACCGTCCTGCGTACACTCGTGTTGCATTATAGCTGATCGTGCTATAATCGAGTACGCTTATCCAGCTTCGAACATAGTGTTCCCATCAAGTGTCTTCTACCATACATAAACGGTGCCTCACGCGCAACATTTTCTAGCCTATACCGCGATACACTTACTGACGGTACTCGAAAATATGAGAAATAACATTTTAATCACAGAAAACTATGTCGATATTGCTACTGTCACTTTCACATATTTCCAAAAATCCTCGTATTATTCGCACTGCACAAGGTTTGTTTCGATTTATTATTAATGCCCGATATGGTTGTTATGGTTTGTGTGTTATGCGATAGATGTTTCTACACATAAACAGTCCCATTGACTGACGACGCGCGGACAAGCAAAGTAAAGAAAGCTGTAAGCAAGCAAGCCAAGCAACACCAACACCTGACATGACTTATCAGAATGTTGAGAGCTTTGTTTTGGGTAGTGCGTTCGTGCGGTTGGCAGCGCTGTCTTATGGGTGCGTTCCATACTGGTAATTTAAGACATTTATCGTTGTTGCGATGAATAACGTATCGTAGAAACGTTAATTAACTGGTATTATATTTATTTAATATTTATGCAAATTAAGAACAGAGAAGTAATTACTTTTATTTATTTTAAATAGTCTTTTAATTATCAAAATCACACGTTTCAAAACTTTGAAATGAAATCTCTGTAACATTTACTAGATATAATACAAAGATTTAATTAGAAACATAAAGTGAGTAAATACTCGAAAGGTAAATAATGCTTGTCGTTTCGCTGTAGATTCCTAGAGACGATTCCTATAAAAGGCGGTGCACGCCCGAAAAACGTGCATTTGCTCATTGGCTTCGGTACGGAACGGTAGTTGTCGACGCGATTTGTGAGTGTTTTTAATTATAATTTCAATTGCTGAAAAGCCTTATAAAACTCTGTAAGTAGATAACAGTTGATTTGTATAAGTGATTGGTGTTTTATTTTGAAATTTATGCTATGAGAGTGTTCAATAAATGAGATTATTAGTTTCTAGATTTTATTAGTTCATTAAATGATCTCTAGCGTGTAAGATAATTGTTTTTTTTATTGATTTGTGATTCTGAATCCTAAATTCAGAAGTGGGATAATCTTATAAAAACACGTCCACAGTTTTATTTTGATAGTACCCTCTTGGTGCGCAAAAAAAAAAAGGGGGGAAATAAAACACCAATTAGCTGCTTATTTTCTAGTTTCTAATTATTGTTTGTGTGTGAATATGGCTGATGTACAGCATAACTCTCGCAACAAGTCGCGTCGGCTCGATAGGGACCGTAGTTCTCGGTATAGGTCTCGTTCTCGGAACAGAACTCGCTCTAGGAGTCGAACTTATTCTCCGTACGGATCACGATCCAGAAGTAGAATGCGTTCGCGGTCAAATCACAGTTCTTGTGATCAAAACGGGGCCATGCAGCAAACATTGCAATCAATTTTGTCACGTTTAAATACACTAGAAGCTGAACGTTCTCCTTTACGTAACACGACTAACAACCAGCCAGTTCAAAACGTTGTGACCGTAAGCTCGTACACGCCCCCGCTAGGCAAATTGCAGAATAGTCAGGCTCTTCAGGTTACAGCGCCGACATTTGAAACACCGATACCTAGTTCTAGCAACACGTTAAATATGCCCGTATCTGGAAGTATAACACTTGAGAGATCGAGTGCTCAAACGGACGGCCGCGAAGTATTATCGGAGTCGGCACGAGTATTAGCTGAAGCAATTAGATCTGTAAACTCAGACAGAACGCAAAAGTACTTTGTATCCAACTTTGACCCAACTATGCATGATATAGACGTATGGTGTGAGGAAGTTGAACGCGCTAAGTCTTCTAATAACTGGGGCGATTCAGAGTGCCTATCACGCGTATCACTGTGTCTAAAGGGCGACGCGCGTTCCTGGCTAAACGAGTGGGTAACTAGCGACCGAACGTGGAGCAATTTCGTAAAAGAATTCAAACCTTTGTGTCCACAAAAGCTCGATTACGCGAATATCCTATATGATGCGATGCATGTCACCTCCGATAAATACAGCACGTACGCCGAGTATGCAAGAAGGACATTATTACGTCTTAAAATTGTTAGGGGACTAAGTGACGAGCTAATAACCTTAATAATTATTCGCGGCATTACGGATCCTCAGGTTAGGGCTGCGGCCGCTAATGCTAAACTAGGAATTCATGACTTAGTTTCATTTTTATCTACTTATGTGAAACCTACCCCCACCAAACCTGAGAATCTAAATTATATTTCTAAACCAATGTCTCTTAATCGCTCATTGAATCTGCGATGCTTTAACTGCCAACAACGTGGGCATAAATCTCACCGTTGTCCCAAAAAGTCAAAAACCGACCATACTTCTAACGTTAGTCCTACCACTAATAATGCCAATAAATTAGTCTGTAATTTTTGTAAAAAACCTGGACATAGTGAAGACGTGTGTTTTGCTAAGGAAAGGTCAGGCTCTCGGAATAAGAAAAATATTAATTTATGTAGCACACAAGTGGCTGGTTCCCCACAAAATAATGACCTTACAAACGCGGTTATACAGGGCATCCCCGTGGATGTTCTAATTGACAGTGGTGCCTTAAACATCTCATTGGTTTCCTCTGATGCATTGAAACATTTCGCATGTGAACGGAAACCCAAGAGTTATGTTTTGAAGGGAATTAGCGACACTGCCATACATGCGGATTCTTTTGTAACGCTAACGATTGAGTTCGATAATATTTCTATTGAGGCTGACTTTGTAGTGGTGCCAGGGTCTTGTATGACTACGCCCGTTATTATAGGAACTGATATCCTAAACCGTGATGGTATCACATACGTGCGGACCAAAGACAGACAGTACCTAACTCGAGCCGTTAAGGGGAACGTCCACGCGGTATCCGTCGGTGAGGTCCCGGAGATCAATACACCTCTTAAGGGCGACGAACTTGAAAGCCTTACAACCTTAATAAAGCAGTTCTCTAGTTACTTCATTTCGGGCACTGCATCGACTACTGTTACCACCGGCAAGATGTCTATCAAACTAACTGATAACACACCCGTTGCTTACCGACCTTACAAGCTGTCACATTCGGAGAAACTTAAAGTCCGAGAAATCATACATGACTTAAAAGATAAAGGCATTATTCGTGAGTCTAATTCTGAGTATGCAAGTCCTATCATACTGGTAAAGAAAAAGGACGGAAGCGATAGGATGTGTGTCGACTATAGAGCACTCAATCGTCTAACTGTTAGAGACAGGTATCCCCTACCACTTATAGACGATCACATAGATAGATTAGGTAACTTTAAATACTTCACCAGCCTTGATATGGCCACAGGATTCCACCAAATTGCTATTGAAGACTGTTCAATCCATAAGACGGCATTTGTCACACCGGAAGGACATTTTGAGTATCTCCGAATGCCTTATGGTCTGACGAATTCGCCCATAGTGTATCAACGAATTATTAACGACACCCTTCGCGGCCATATCGAGACTGGCAACGTCCTGGTCTATATCGACGATGTCCTGTGTATGAGTAACAGTGTAGATGAAGGGTTTTGTTTATTAAAAAAGGTGCTAGAAACGTTAACCAAGTCGGGTTTTTCAATTAACCTAAGAAAATGCTCATTTTTGTCAATGGAGGTCGAATACTTGGGGCGCGTAGTTAGTCAGGGTCAGGTTAGGCCGAACCCATATAAAATTCAAGCCCTAGTTGATGCACCGGTCCCTCGTAACGTGAAACAAATACGACAATTTCTGGGTTTGGCGGGATATTTTAGAAGGTACATCCGAGACTATGCAGCCAAAACCGCTTGCATAGCACGTTTATTGAAAAAGGATGTAAGTTTCTGTTGGGGTATAGAACAAGAGAATGCTAGGCAAGAGATAATAAGTTGTTTGACTAGTTCACCAATATTGTCCATTTTCGATCAGTCCCTGCCTACAGAAGTACATACCGACGCTAGCAGCGTCGGCTATGGTGCTATATTGATGCAGAAGAAGACAGACGGTAAGAAGCACGTGGTCGCCTATTTCAGTAAAGCCACACAGGGTGCCGAGAGCAGGTACCACTCTTACGAGTTGGAAACTCTGGCGGTCGTGAAAGCATTGCAGAATTTTCGTCACTATCTGGTAGGAATAAACTTTAAAGTAGTTACCGATTGCAATGCTCTCAAGGCGACTGAAAAGAAGAAGGACCTGCTCCCACGCGTCGCTAGGTGGTGGATCTACTTACAAGATTTTAACTTTAGTATTGAATATAGGAAAGGTACCATGATGTCACATGCTGACTACCTAAGTCGAAACCCAGTCACTACCAAAGTACACCAGATTTCTAGACCACGCAACTGGGCGCAGATTGCTCAGTCGGCAGACGATGAGACACAGTGCATTTTACAGAAATTACAGGACGGAGAATTAGATCCTCAACGATATGTGCGGCAGAATGAGCTACTTTATTATCGATACACACCAGTGGGTGGGGAAGCCAGACTACTTTGCTTTATCCCCAAGGGACACCGGTTAAGTTTACTGAGAATTTTTCACGACGAGCATGAGCACATTTGTGCAGAGAAAACCATAGACTTAATCCTCAAATATTTTTGGTTTCCTGGACTTCGCCAATTTGTAGTAAAGTATATAAAGCACTGCCTCGTGTGCGTGTCCAATAAACGTGTACCCAGAGCCCCTCACCAACCGATTACATCTTGGGAAAAACCCGGTCTCCCTTTCCAAACATTGCATATAGATGTACTTGGTCCGTTACCCGAATCTAACGGTTACAAATTCGTCTTGCTAGTAGTAGACGCGTTTACAAAGTTCTGTTTGCTATATCCGATTCGTAAGCAGGATGCTAGTGAGCTTAAACGCGCGTTCTGTAACACAATTTCACTCTTTGGCGTTCCTAAGCTTGTAGTAGCTGACCGCGGAAGAATGTTCGAGTCCTCAGAGTTCTCTACTCTGTTGACCGAGTTTGGTTGTGATATCCATTTTA